AACACCGAATTTCGAAATGGGTTAAAATGTCGCAGTCTTACGTTGTCTCCGTTAACAATGTAGCTTTAATATTAAGACATATTGATTTCAATTAATAAAGTGCCCACATTTTTCTTTCATGGAGCGCATTGAAGCAATCCAATATTATAATAAAACCGCTAATAATCTAAATGGGCGCCCGTGTTTTTGCAAGCACGTTATAAATGTAAAACTAAAATATATCTTTCAACTGCTGCACTAATCACTTCTGGTGACTTATTTTGAAAAATCATTTATATTAATTCATTACAACTTTCAAATGTCAAAACTTAATTTATCAATACCCGCTTTTATTAAAACACTCAATATGTCTATGTCAACAAGATAGTGTCAACATGTTGTGTCAACAACATGTAACCTAATGTAAACAAATTATACGCAAGAGCAGAGAAATGTATCATCCAGTATAATATGTTTTTCCCAGTTGAACCAGATGGAATATAACAGCTGATAACAAATTAAAACAAATTATACAAGTATCAGAGGAGAAACTCCAAAAAAGTCCGTATCATTCATTGTTATAATTATGTCTTATACATAAACCTATGATAACAGGTTAAAACAAATTAAAACAACTGATATGTATGTTTAATAGGTTTATGATACTGTATTAATCATGGGATTTTACATAGTGGATGTTCACTGCAGAGATGTTGCAACTAGTACCTAGGATAGGTTCAACCTGTAGTGTTTATACTTCATATTTGCAATGGATAAACCATTCTTATTGAGATTTTCAACCTAGATTCGACCCAGAGCGACAAGTTTTTCATTGTTGGTACAATGAAAAACTTGTCGCTTAATACACTGTAATAATATGGAATATCTCTCACATGAATAACAATTATAATCAGCCATTATTAAAATGGAAACAAATACATTTCTTGGAAGACTTGGGGTGGCCGAAAATTCAATAGAGAGGCAATATATCGATTTGACCAACTCCTGGTGGTAGCGCAACACACTTAATATTTACCACTTCATAGTTGAATATATAAGCATGTCACCGTCCCTGCATAAGTTATGACATTTATTCTATATTTTGCAGCATTACAAATGTATATGAAAAACAGTAAAAGGCAAGACGATTCTTATTGTTACCATAGAAACGCAAACACCAATAAAATACTATTTTCAATAGAATCTATAAGAATAGGAGGATTAACAATAATCTGGTTGAACGTCTACACGAGGGTTGAATTAAAATATAATAGAATCAATCTGATTAAACAATAGCATTGTTAACTAAACAAATAGGATTCCATTATGAAATTATGGATTTCAAAGTTTCGAGAACAAGATAGAATCTATTATTGCGATTGATCGCTGACCCCTGGCGCATAGTTGCGATACCAAGTGCGTTATTTCACATTTTTCGCTCTAAACAATTCGCAGATTTTGTTTCCCTGGAATTTCCCAGTAAGTTAACACTTCATGTGTATTTGTCTCTATTTTTAAATCGTTTTTGTTTTTGATTAAAGGAGGAATTAGACGACGGATTGGAAATTGTCTCTCTTGGTCGGCTATAAATAATGTATGCATTTCCGCAACCTCGATTCAGTACTACCGGTGCAAATATTGAAATTCGAAAGTGCCATCACACATATTAAATACGAAACAATTCCTTATTGGTTTTTACATGCCTACTTAGTTTCGTATGATATTGCCTCTCGTGAATAATAAATGTACAAGCTCAGAGATTAGATAAGACCTAATGTTTTTACCAATAATCCTAATGTCAGGGAGAAAAAATGAAATGTACCTTTTAGTTAGTTACTCTGTGAATTTTGTGAATGCTACTGATACGTTTGCCTCTTGTAATGTAATGATATAATATCATAAAGATACTGGGATGGTTTGATTTCAGTTGATATTATAAATGTATCACGTTACACTTGTGACTCAGACAATTACTGCAGTCTCACTGCGTTTTCGAACTACCCAGAGCGGTGGTGCATTGCGTAATAGGGAATGAGATTTCCCCAAGGTATCAAGAAAAAGAACGGCCATCAATCAGTGAAAGTCCAAAACAGTATTAAAGATATATTTGGGATTAACATGCAATCGGAAATGAAAAAACAAGTTCCAATGTTCCAAAACATCTCATTTGACTTGTTTGTCTACATTTTGGATTATTAAAACTTTGCCAGAGGATCCCACATTGAATGAAGTCCTTGTGTGCCAAATCTCAGAGCAATTTACATCCATTTAAGAAATATATAGAAGAAATGGAGGGTTGCATTTTTTGGGGTCACCCTGTATCACTTATTCAGCATGTCTAGATCTATCATTCATTTTGGAGATGGACATTTAAATATGTGTGTACGTTATATTATGTAAGCTTGATTAAAATATGATACTTCAGTAAATTTCCTAACGCCTTCAGCTAGGTGACCCTAAAACAGTTCATATCAGGATTTTAGTCATACTTTCAGACTTTCAAAAGATGCGAGTTTTGAGAAAGGCATTTTGATAAAGATGCTTCTAGTGACCTGTATGTACGAGTTAATTATTACGTAGATGCTTCTATATGTTTCTATTTGTTTTTCATTTATTTATTATTATCATTTAATATTGATAAGATATTTTGGTAAATGATGGGGCGGGGGTGATAGATATACTTTGATGGGATTGATATGATTTGCCACAGATGATGTCGTTCTCCTCATTAATTTGATTGTCACACCACATGGACTTTTTATTCACAACGGAAGAAGTAAAACTTAAAAGTACAACTTATTTTCTTGTTAGTTTATATTATAACAGGGTTAATGGGTGACACATCGAAAGGGGACAACAATTCCCCAGGTACCTGTAGTTCCCGTGTTGTCTCACGACAAGCCTGAACTGATTTTAAAGAATTCAAGTTTTTATGACTTTTTTGTTATTTCATTAAAATTTACGGTAATCCGAGTTGATTAAAATAAGGGTCTGGATTTACGAGGTTCAAGTGAACAAACACGACGACTTATTAAGTATAAGGCTATTTAATAGTTTAATCAAATGAGTTGTCTCAATGTTGTTTTGTAATATAGAAAAACGCATGGAATTTATTAATTGTGGCAATTGGATTTTCCTTACATTGTTATTTTTTATAATTATCTTTCGAAATTAATACACCGTGGTTTAGTATGCGTGAGATTGTATTATACACATAATCGACTTCCGTCAATCCGCATGCCATTTTGCACTCATGTTACTATGTGGTGTGTCAAATGAAAATAATTTCTCGGAACCAATCAGAAGTGTCCGAATATTTGTTCCATCACCGGCAGTTACACTTTCAAATGATACCTTAATGGCACAGTCAACGGCATAGAAAGTAAAGTTGTTCTGGAAAGAAAATCTAACCCTCACCCAAACGTCTGAGTAAATATGTATTATGTTCAAAATTGAGGAGGCAGATACTATCTCACCTGCTTCGTGAATTGCTATGCCCATGCATTAGTACACAAGTCAGCGTTTTCGGTCTGCACCCTACTCAACAGTGTTTGACAACAAAAATGCAAACGATATGAACACCAAGATCACATATCATGGTAAAGAATAACAATCACACTATGGGTGGATCTTGATTCATAAAAATCCAAAATCAATGAAGCGGAATTTAGTAGAAGAAGACACAAACAAAAACATACATAAGTCTTATTTTATATAACAAGTGCTATAAAATGTACCCCTCGCATTGAGATCGACAACTTGCTCGAAGTGTTTACCCTTGTCTGAATATCCTCTTTCGTAATACTTCTTCATCACGATTTCTCTCTCAAATTTGAATGAAATGCCTGATTTTGCGGTACTTTGTACAATTAAGGTTTTTAAGTATCAGACTGTACTTTATTTCCTGCTAATTCCATTATTTTTACTACATTTTTCATTTTGAAAACGACAATAGAGATATTTTCTCTAGCGGTAGTAGTAGCAGAGAATAGAAAAATCAATGCGCATGTTGGTCTCTCTCAAAAATAGTCCGCATTTGCTTAATAATTTTACACGTTCTATCCGTAAAATATGATTCAATTTATCAATTTCTTGACATTTCCCACAATTTCCAATATCAGTTTATCCATGTTAATTTTTTTATTCTTAGATTTTTTGCATTTGCTTATATTTTGCATGGAAAGGCATAAAATCCATGCGGAATTATTCAAGGGATCTAATAGGTAAACACAATAGAAATTCCTATGCCGACCGCCATACAAACTCCATCACACATACCGATGTCAGTTGCACACTTGCGCAAAAAAACCTTACCCATTCCATGAAAATTTCACCCAATTTCTCTCTAAATTTTGAATATGACATCTATTATTTTCTTTCATTTCTGTACAGGACAGAGTAGTGTCTACTTGGCTGTCTTTGATTCTGTTTTTTCTCGGAGATTTCTCTCCATTTCGTGTCAAATGCCTTTTTCTGGTTAAAATTGTATTCACCGGCAACAGCAACAATGGGAAGTAAAGCACAATACAAATACTAATTAAAAATGTATTATTGATGAATGTCGTCGTTCTCTTAGCACTTATACAGAGCTCATAGAGACAAATACTTAATGTTTCATACAAACTACATTGTATTGAAGATGTTTCGTAAATACTAAATATATATGTCAAGCATTTCTCCATCGAGTATCATTCTTTTGGTGATGTTTATCAAAATATCTATAATATACAAAACATCCGATATCGTATCTATTTTATACTGTAAAGTTTACAGTATATACAGTGTTTACAGTGTAACGTATGTTTGCAGTAAATATAAACAATATATAATATCAACAATTTTGTACATTTTGAATATTTCATGTTTTCACGGCTTAATATGGCCCTTGTTTGAAAGATTGTTTTCATCTAATATGTATGTTGTTATCATATCGTCAAAGATCAAACGTGGCATACAATTAGGATTTAAACCACCAGGAATACTTTTAGACTGTCTAACAATTGTGATTTGCTGTTTTTCAGGCTATGGGAATATTGCACCGAAGACCTTTTGGGGGAGACTCGTATGCATCGCCTACGCCACCCTTGGGATCCCACTCATGTTGTTGTGCCTCGCTAACATCGGTGACGTCATGGCCGACATCTTCAGATTCATCTACGCTAAGGTCTGTTGTTGTGGCTGTTGCAGAAGGAGAGATAAAACCAAAGTTGTTGAGATCGACTCTCCGTCAAGAGGAGGCCCCGCGTGGAATTCTGGCAAAGGGGATATTGGGTTCAATCCTGGGCAGAACGCACCGGTCGGTGCTGACCCGAATAAACCCCGACCTCCATCGGCAACATCGTCCACGCGCCAACGAAGCTCTCTTGGCTCGAAATCACCATTCCCAGAGACGCTACCCGGTCCGCCACCACCAAGGGCCGGTCCGATGATAATCGATGATGACTCCGACGACGAAGATGAAGAAGACGAGAAAATAACCGTACCCCTCACCATCACTATGGTCGTAATTGCCGGATACATTTTCGGAGGAGCTCTCCTCTTCGGAGTCTGGGAAGCATGGCCGCCACTCAAGGCGTCCTATTTCTGTTTCGTCACTCTTACCACTATTGGGTTCGGGGATGTAGTCCCAGGAGCGGCGAACTTTGAGACGTCCCAAGCACAAGTACAGATGATTCTCAGCTCTGTTTACATGTTGTTTGGAATGGCGATCGTCTCCATGTGCTTCAGCTTGATGCAGGATGAGATCGTTGCTAAATTCACTTGGGTTGGCCAGAAATTGGGCATCATTGATAAGAAGAAAGTAGAGGACGACGAGGAGTGACTAAGCAAACAACATCTCAAGCGTGAATAAACCAACTTACAAATGTCGTTAGGAAGGAATCTAAATTCTCATTGTGAAAATTAAAACGACGTTCAAACGTTTTTCTATCCTATATGTTTGCCTTGACGAATGAGTGTCGCCTTAAACTATCTCAAACGAATTATCGATGAAATTATTCTATAAAGTTGATTTAACTATATCCAACACTTAACTATTTATTATGTGAACGCTACATATAGAGGATTCCTTTGACGTTGTCGTCCTATATTCATGATTAAGACTACATAACGTCGTGTGACACAAATATCAAAAATGATCGTGTGTCTGTAACTCCAATTCCAAGAATCCGTCCATTTGCAATTGGGAAATGCCTAACGTATACATGTGGATGATAATGTACAGGTCGAAAAACGTAGAATGCAAAAGAAAGAGACAAGGAAATAATACCCACTGTGTAAAATGTTTAATATGCCCTGCTTATAACTGGCAATTTTCGTTTATTTGATCTATATTATCTGTGAGAAGCAAAATTCAGCGATGACAAGAATACTGATATCTGCTTATACGGAACCAGGAAAAGTACAATTTAATGTGAATGTAAAGCTAGTCGTTGGATCCATCGAGGAAGGAATACCTGCTGTTGATGCACGGTGTTCATACCTACACGTCTGTCCGTGTGATGTGACCAGCTCATGTCATAGTAATACAACATTATGAAACTCAATCGATTGTAAACAGGAACGGAAGATGAAAAAATGTTTAAAATTCCGGTCCCTCGTAAATCGGAATAATGAACTATACAGGGCCCCAAATATGGCAATTAGTAGATATGGTAAATAGAAATGCTCGGAGATTTTAACTACGTGTGATAGTAATGGATGTGATGATACAAGTAATGATACTCTCGAATTCCGTCCACTTGAAAGAAAAACGACGAACATCCGTCCTTTTATATAGATATACATGTACTAGACGTGTGCCTATATCATTTATACCAAGCAGCCAATCAATAGACGACAATGGATGACAATTAACGGCAATTTAGCTGTTATTACGGTCTTCTTTCCTATTCAAAGGTGAATTTCCATGCAAAGTGTTGACGTAAATGGCATTGATTGCAATTGTTTTTCGATAGTAGGCTTACCCCCTATATGAATAGACACTAGCTGATAAATTTCGGCATGCGATGTTTCATTGTTCAATTTAGACAGACTTGTTTTGACACAATATCCCTCCATAGCGGATTCTAGCTGCCCATGGCTAGAATTTGATGACCTTCCATTGGTGGTTCTAGCTGTCCATGATTTTAATGGAATGGCATTCCATGGGTTGTTCGAGTTGTCCATGGTAAAACTGAAGGGACTTCCATTAGTGGTCTGAGATACCCATGATTAAAATTGGATGGCATGTTACTGCTGGTTCGAGCTACCCATTGTCAATAATGGATGGCCTTTCACCGCTGGTTCGCGGCTCGCGCTGCCCATGGTTATACTTGAATGTCTTCGTTTTAGGGAGAATATGGTTAACATAAGAGAAGAAGGTTTCCTCTGGTGGAAGTGTACCTATAGAATATATATTTGTATAATCAATTATTGATTGCCCGTCTAGGATAATTTTGAATCGATATATGGTACATTGTAAGTCTAGGTTAAAATTAAAGACACATTGCAGGTTAAAATTAAAGACACATGCAGGTTAAAATTAAAGACACATGCAGTAAAATCTGTAACTGGTGATCTGGAACACTTTTATTTGTAGAATGCGCATAGAAAATTAAGTTTTATTGTGAAGACTACGATACATCCTCTTTATATATAATGCCATGACAACCAAACACGTGATTCAATGTAAATGAAACACTCCCTGACTTCAGAAACCGATCCTGTTATATAAATATCAAATGCTTTTCTATTTTATAACCCTTATTGAAATAATGTTTTTCTGGTTTGAGGATTAAAAAAAGGTCGCCATGGCATTTAAAAGAGGGTGATCTGCCTTGTGCTAACTGGACGCTGCTGAATGTTTTACTGTATATAATGTATGAATCACTTCTCCGATACTAACTTCAGTTAAAACTTATAATTATTTAAAAACAACTCAATGAAATAACAGTAAGATCATACTTTACATTGCATTATAGAGTAGGAAGTGCTAATGTAATTAACCATAAGAGGCTTAAACTCCAAAATTGTAAAGAAATTAAACTCTAAAATTGTAAAGAAGTATCAAAAGCTGAAATACGTCCTTCAAATTTCAGTGAAGAAATTGATAAAATAGGCTACTTTTGCTACCATTGTAATTATTCTTATTGTATTATCATCCTTATGTATATAATATATATATTCCCTTGTATAATTCCCACCAATGTATAGACATTCCATTTAGTATGAAAGTTGTGGTCCCCTGTATATGGATTTATAATGCAATATACCTGTCCGAAAAACCCTGCCATATTTTGGGAAATCAAAGCTGTGATATATTGGCTGATTTAGGTGATGTCAATCGTTGTACTTTCAAAAATAACAACAAATTAATGCAGCAATCCATTTGATTGGACAATTGTGACTTCCAACCAATGACGTCATCGATCTAGCCAATATACCATAAATTCATTGATTTACCAAAAGGTGACTGTTTGATAGAACGGTGAATAGAAAAATATATTCTCCATTAGTTCATAGCCAATCAGAACATGTGCAAGCTATATAGGAAGGGGAAAATATTACCCAGGGGATCATAATTTATATAACACGGCACTCGCCATAAAACACAACCCAAACCCGAAGTCAAAATTGCATAATGTTCTGTAAGATTAAAAATATGTGAGTGGCGGCACCTTAAATGTTACTTAAGGAGGATTGGCTCCCAGGATCGAAACTCGATATTTTCCAACAATGAAAACGTCGAAATATCGTTATTTTCTGAAATTATAACCGACTATAAATTTTCAATGAACAGATCAAAAGATTCGAACCAATATCTCGATCATTTCTTGTGAAATTTGGAATTTATCGTTAGGAAATGAGACCAAAATTCACGATTCAAATGTTGAAGTGAACAAAATGGCGGCTGTTTGAATTCGAATCTTGTATCACGACATGCCCATATATGGTACAGAATATCGATGTTGCACTCTGGGAGCCAATCCTCATTGAATGTAAATATTCGTTATTTACCGGATAAGCTTAACATTATAGGTGATAGCATTTAGGTGATCATCTTATATCGAACTATATTTTTATACTCTATAAATGTTTGTTTGCTTTGGTGCTGTGGTATCTGTTCATGTATACTATGTCGTTAATCGATAATAGTGTGATACGTCTCGCAAAATAGACTTCCTCTCGACTTTGACCCACTCTAAATCACCAACTATATAAACATATCACAATGTTAAAATAGAAGTGTCGAGGCAGCCATTTTGGAATATTCGATATGACATTCAATATAAGTGTATTTCATTCTACAGATTAAAACGTAAACGAGAGGAGATAACAATTTGTACGTTTGTAAAAAATCCAAGACCGATATAATTGTGTTATTAAGACGATATTGTTCCATATAGGGGTTAACTTTTATTATCAGAAAAATCGATGTAAATCCATGCATCATACATTCGACAGAGAAAATGTTACACATCTATTACATTACGATATTAAAGTATTTCTCTCGTGTTTAAATACTCGGAATAACGATGTCTATTTTGACAAAATAATTCACATTTTCATGTTTTTGAATATCAGAGTAGATTATAAATTCAACTTCCATAACTGAAGAGGATAAAAATGCCAATGTTTTCTAGTATTATCCAACCTACACTATTCATAAAAATGCAATACTACTATACATGTGTATATTAAAATGAAGTAATATGTATGACTACTTTTAATAATAAGAAAAATTATTCTTGTGTAATTATATCAAAATGGTTGTTATTTTGACAGATATCCGTCCATATTAACATGCAGATTTATTCGCTACGCCTGTAATAAGGTGATAGCCTTATAGATCCTAACAATTGATAAAAAATCCAAATTGAGGATATTAAATTCTTAAAAATAAAATATATACTTCTTAAAAATGTACATAATAAATATTTATATTATAGAATTTATGTTTGCTATATAATTATGTTGAATTGTATGTAGTCTAGGATTTTATTTCAATGCTTTCCTCATCATGGTATATGCTGACTTAAAATTCTAGACTATATACGCTTGTGTTCTCTTCTATACTATATTATAATGATGACTTGCATTGTTGAATTTTAATAAAAAATCGTGTGTGTATATTTACAAAATGTTGACGTGTCTTGTTTTTTAAACATTTTTTCATCAAATTTAAAATGTATACATATAGGTGAAAAATCATACAAGTCACTCCATTACCCATGCATTCACATTCTTCACTCATACCATCATACTGTTAAAATCCATTTTCATTTTTAAACAATAATCTAAATATGCCTTAAAGTTGTAATAATTTGGAGGCTCTTGTTGCATTTTCTTATTATATAAGTAGTACTTCCCTATAATAATTACCATATTTTCAAAATCACTCCATTTTGGGATACCAAAATAATACTAACTGTAAGCAGAGAAAAATTTTCGGGTTCTTTTAATGTATTATCTATTATTGATTCAAAAACTGTTTCGTATAATCACAATTTGTTTTCTAAATTAATAAATGGAGATTTGTACATAACCACATTGCCAATCTTCTTAGCTTAAATTCGCAGATGCAAATAACGGCTGGCGGCTAGCGATTAACCTACTTTTTATGAACAAGTCATTTAAATATGAATGAAAAGGTGGTAGGTACTGTTCATATTTAAATGAGTTGCCCATAAAATAGTTGGTTAATCCGCTAGCCGTCAGCCTTTATTGTGAATACAAGCTCATTCATCATAAGCTATGTCTACTGTACATGAACACTAGGCTTATTGACCCTCAGTCCATGTTAATTGTGAATCTATGAGACTTTCTACAAAAATGCCAGAGTGATAAATATGTGTTTAAAGGCTAATAGCTGCAAAATAGTTTAATTCGAAAAGATATGTACTTTAAAACAACTAGTAACTTTTCAGTTAGGAAATCTGTTTTCAAGCTTAGATGATAACTTCAGAAAATTTAATATCAGAAAGTCCAAGGATTGTGTATTTATTTATATGAATATGAATCTAATATATTTTGTGGGAGTACAGCAAAGTATGCCCAGAGGTGCATTTGCGTTATGACATTGACAGACAAAAGGGTGGATCGATGGACAAATTGATGGATGGATGGCTTCTCTTAATCCAAACTATGAATTTGTTCTATGGGATAATACATTGTCAGAATGGTAAATCTTAGTCGAAAGAGTATTCACTAATGTAACAAAACATAGTTTAAGAAAATGAATCAATTCTTAAATTAAGGAATAAATAATGATAGGCCATTCAATATGGTGAAATTCAGCACGAGTTGGACAGAATGTTGTACAAAGCACGAACCGAAGGTGAGTGCATTTGTACTAACATTCTGTCCAACGAGTGCTGAATTTCACCATATTGAATGGCCTATCATGATTTATTCCGATTCAAACATAAAAATTAGTAAAAACCGTGTCTGTGGAAGAACAGCTATCCCCGGACAGAGCCCCAGATGTGCAGCTGAGATGTGACGTCACTCAAAACAATGCAAATTGCAGATTGAATAGAGCATGGTCGTGCATCTATGGAGAATTAGAGAACGTTCTATATTGGCTATGCTGCATTCTGATTGGTTGAGAAATTCGAATAGAGCACGGTCATGTTTGAATGTCCAATAGTGATGTCTAATTCAAGAGATGATATAATTTTCCTTTTAATGCAACATTAGATAACATATTTCAAACATGGCAAGGGTCCACGTTAACCAATTTTCTCATATACTCATATTAAATTATCAATACAAGTTCACAACTGCCATCTTTATATGACAGTAAATTTACTATTTTAATCAGTTAAAAATTTGGTATCAAAATCATTGTGTTTCAAATAATTCAAGATTTTCATTTCAATTACTTGCCATCATAGTGTATACAGGGTATTGTAAAAGTAACAGGACTGGTGCTGGTATTTTGTTAAATATGCACCAATCATCTTCAAATTTTTACATAATGTACTTTCATGTATTGTTCCTTGTTTCGACAAAACTGATGAAAATCGGGTAGAGATATGGTTGCTATGGTAACATGACATCAACATAACCGAGGCAACATTAGACGCAGAAAGTAACAGAGACTTTTTAAGCATTTTGCACATCCCATATCAAAGTTTAAATCCAACATCTGGTGGGAATTTACATTTGCTAAATACATCATTTGGTATTCCTACAGGCCCGTAGCCTGGATTTGCCAAGGGGGGGGGGTTCAGTTTTCAAAAATGTCCAGGGGGGTTCACATTTGACAATTTTGGCCCAAATATGGCTAAAATCACTTGAGAAGTGCTCAAAATGGTGAAAAACTGCATGATTTTGAAATAATTTTTGGCCAGGGGGGGGGGGTTTCGCCCGAACCCTACAAACCCCCCCTGGCTACGGGCCTGCCTATGTATCCTCTACTTTGAAAAGTAGGGTCTTCTTTGGTCAGTCCAAGAGTAACACTCTGTATCCATGACTCAAACACATCAGTGAACAGACTTGAGGACATTACACGTAGGGTCGATAGGACAACTTGGAGACGGCTATTCTCATCTTTAAAGGTCTTACCGCGCTGATTAGCATGCTATTCCCCATAATAAGTAATAAAAATTAGATATTGCATGGTCGGAAGAGTATGGTACATTATCTTAGACCTCAGGACCTAGCTCCTCTATAGCTACAATTGTCTTTGATGCTGACTTCCGGGCAGGCGCGTCGTCAAGGTGGCTTCAAATTGGGTATTTTCAAGAACTCAACTCTGAATTGTGCAGGAAATTGAATGTTATTATTATGAAAGTATACTTGAATCTGGGTTGTATAGCAACACCATTACTACAAAGCAACTAATAAAACAAACAGGAATTGTTGTATTGTAAAAGGTGAATTGCACTACTTCAAAGTAAAATTCGATGCAGAATTGACAAAATGCCAGCACCAGTCCTGTTACTTCTGGAACACCATTTATGTCACAACTCATGAAATGGTTTTATCATATTTATTTGAAAATTCGACATATACTACATAAAACTGTTGATTTTATCATACTATATGATACAAAACAATATAATATAAGTTCTTCATATTAATTCTTTATTGTAATTAATGTAGCGAAAAATATAAAATTAAAAAAGTTTTCCGTAGTAATTTGTTTGTTTAGATTGTTTGATCTTAGGTGTCAACAAAATGAACTAAAATAATAGGTTCATTGTTTGATTACTGATAAATGACATATAATGTGGTCACATCATATTGTCATGGATTTGCAACTACATCTATATTAATGTATATTTAAAACATATTGAGTTTAATAATGACGTTTGTATACATTCCAATGTTTTTAGAACAAGTTGGCACAAGCAGTATTCACTTAAAAATATGTTTGTAGCACACCTTTATTTGAGAATACATATTTTGAGACAGGAAATACAAAACTATATCATGTTTACTCAGCACTGATTTTACATAAATGGACCTAACCAGGCAAGCAAGGCAACTACCATAGCAAAATTTTACAAAAATATCAATACCCATTTTTCCATATTTCAAATTTTTATATTGCCTACTGTACTTCTACTTGCTGTTTGATTTTGCGCAAATTAATTTGGCGGATTTTACAACGGCCGCCAAATTAAGTAGAAGTACACTATTTACATTTCCCTCTGCTTTTTCCTGATTTTTGTTTTGCCTCTGCTGTAGTAATACTTTGACAGAGAGTAACATGACGACACGGTGGCCTGATATTTGACACATTTGGAATATAATGAGCAACGTTTCGTAGATTTTTGCAAAGTTCAAATATAAGTGATTGCCATTTAAGGAATCACGATTCTTTACAATCATTTCTCGGCATAATAACATTTATTGTACTAAAAATATGACTATATCTAACATTAAAACACTTTTGAAGCACAATATGGTAAAATATTCTAATAAAGTAAACATGTACAAATTTAGTTTGGAACAACCTGTTGCCTACATAAACGATATTTTGTACTGATTTTTCTAAGAATCGTATATAAGAATCGCATATGCATATTCGTACATACAAGAGATGATTAAGTCCCACCAAGTCATCAATACTAAAATTAAAGGCACAGATTTTACAATTCAAGCTTTTTTCTCATTTAACCTGATAAAAAATCTTCACAAATATGCCAAACATGCTAAGAGACTAGTTTAAGTATATTGTTAAACCACATTCTTATTAAAAGGTACATTAGATATGTATTTACATAATCATATAGTGAAAACTTTCTTTCTGGTATATTCTTTATACAAATCACTATAAAAATTACAGTATTAAATCGTGACTGTGTTAAAATCGTTAAAGGCATATTCTACTTATTCCAAAAAGGAATATAAAACAATTTGATCGTTTGCTTCTATATTTGATTAAAACGGATAAGGAAAGAATATGTCTATTCAAATGTTTCATGTTATACTCTCACTCGGTACATTTATTCTTTTTTATAGCCTTCAAAATAGTCCTCTGATGTTTGTTATCTATTTTAATAATTGTAATCTGGTCATCTATATTGAGATTTGATACACTTTCTGTTGTCATCTTTTCCTTAGTAAGGATCAACAGTTTGTCACTTGGGGCTGAAAGAAGAAAAATAGATTTGTAAGGCCAAAATCTTTTTATTCTGATATATTCAAAGTTAAATAAGCCATTCATAAGCAAAATGTTACCACTTGCCATGTGTTATAGACACTGGACCACAACAGCCCAAAACCAACCACATTACAAAAAAAGTTAGAGACTACAACAATATGAATGTGGCGGTGACATAATAATAAGTTATTTAACTGTATTAGATATATAAGCATGACGAAGTATCACGTTATTCATCAAATATTATTTTTCTCAATCTTCACGGTCACTTTTAAGATATATGAGTACAACTGTGTGATAGCTTCAATGGCTTAATTTCCATTTGAGAAAATGAAAAAATCAAACATAACCATTCTATTTACCTGCATCAAAAACGACATCACAATCACAGCCAGAATCCAGGTCATATATGATGTGTTTGTCCATTTTTACTCTACCACTTTCTGGTCTGAGGTCTGTAACGATTTTCAATTTCCTTTCAGTACGGATTGACACTCTAAATGCTGAAAATAAATGATAATGAGTATCATATTCTGCACGGAAATAAAACTTAATTTCTTAAACTGTTAAATAACAAATACTTTTTGATTAATGGATATTTAGCTCGCAAGAGATTTCAATGAGAGAATCAAATGTAAGGTTATAGGTCAGTCGGATCATGCCAAACATCTGTGTGTTTTATATGATATCAATTGAACCATTTACACATATATGTTAGGAAAATCATGATTACCATTTTCAGCTTTACAGACGATATCAGTGATGTCACTTGGAGCTTTACTTAGGCACACGGGGCATTTATTTTCCTCTAAAACACAATGTGATTTATAAATGATAAGGCTGTCCGAATATAAAAATCCTCATATATAACAGGTTTAAAAAAATTTAGGAAATATTAGCAATTTAAAAGTCTATGAAACACATTAGCATTAAGAAGCAATACTCAAAACAAGTTTTCTCAAAATAAGTTCTAAGTTAATCCTATTTTTCTTTGATACAGTGCTGCCGTCATTCTATAACCATCACAAACATCACATAGTGTTACATCACATTTAGTGGAAAAGTCTCATTATTACCTTTTATATTAAGATAAAGTTCTCTTCCTTCTTTAATGTTCATATCAAGTGTACAGTAGTACTCTCCCTCTCCTTCTCTATCTAAGCCTGAGATTTTCAGGTCCCACTTATCACCTTCCTGTTGGACACTAATCCTTGGATCATCTATAATGCGCCTATTCCCAACTGTCAGGACAACGTTGTAGCGATTCAGCCACATGACCTATTCGTTGCATGAGAAAATGTTATGCAAATCCAAAATATTGTGTTTTATGGATAATGGCATCGGCTTAGTGGTTGGATGTTGACCATTTGTTATGCTTATGAAGTTTGGGACTGGATTTTGTCCGTCCAACAACTATTCTTGATATTATGAGTATGGGTTATGACTTTAAATTTATTTTTGTGAATATATATTCATGATTGTTATTTTTCAATAAAAACTTTATACAATCGCGCATATCATAAACATCTTTGTGAAAAAACATGAGCTTCGTGTGATAGAATTAATATTCATAAAAAGATGGTGGTGTTGCCAAACTTGTTACACATCTCCTCAACGTAACTTACTTGATATGTATGATCTCTATGGGCTTAAAACATAATAAAAAACGTGAACTTACCTGATGTTTAGCGTGACTATGAATGGTACATGGCAATACAACAGATCTTCCAACAATGCCTGTTATCTTTGTAGGTGTATTTGCAAACACAGCCCCTGTAAAACAACATTGCACCTACATATTGTATTGTAAAGAACATGGTCCCTCACGCGTTATATTGCAACAAGAAGTTGCTGATACATGTCTAATTTCTGACTTACACATAAATAATCTAATTTCAGACAAATGTCATATCTTTGATTGACTCGTTTTCTGGCAGTGTGAAAAAATTATTGCATTTCCCATTCATCAATTCGGAACATTATTGTAATCCAAAACTGGAAGACTAAATACCACTTTGCTCTGGAACACTGAGGTCAGGGGCACTGGCACCATTTGATCCCACATCTGGCCTTCTTACAATTGGTTGACGAGCCTGCTCAGGGAGAGGCTGACTGTTTATCCTGTCATATGCTTCCCAGGTTATATCAGGAAGATCTTCCTTGGTGCCTTAAATAAAACCAACAAATTGTATTTAGCACTGAAAGTTATGTTTCTCTTTACGATAACGTGTGTTTTATGAGTTATTATACTGCACAGTGTATTATGTCTTTTGAAATGAATCCCTAGAAAAATTCTGCTCTATTTTGATTAAAACAGTGAGTGCAAGATCATTCTCAAGTGAACTATACCACCACCTTTTGCTACCCTAACATCTACTGGTTTGATGGTGAAGTGAGATGGTACACGAACAACTAAAAGAATGATGAGTGCATATTTGTAATAGAACTGCTAAAAATGTAAATTGTCTGCTAAAAGTGATATTTTAGAATACAGTGATAAGTGCATATTTGTTAGATATCTGCTACAAAAGTAAATGTTCTGCTAAAAGTGATATCTAAGGAAAATGTCTAAAACCAGAAGACTAAATACCACTTTGCTCTGGAACACTGAGGTCAGGGGCATTGGCACCATTTGTTCCCACATCTGGCTTTCTTCCAATTGGTTGACGAGCCTGCTCAGGGAGAGGCTGACTGTTTATTCTGTCATACGCTTCCCAGGTTATATCAGGAAGATCTTCCTTGGTGCCTTAAATAAAACCAACAAATTGTATTTAGCACTGAAAGTTATGTTTCTCTTCAGTTTTTATACTGCACAGTGTAATATGTATTTCGAATCCCTTAAAAATTCAGCTCTATTTTTTGTTAAAACAGCGAGTGCAAGATCATTCTTAAGTGAACTATACCTTTCAAAATGGTAATTCTTGCATTTGCTTCTGCTCTACCAAGCTCAGATTCAGCGACACATCTGACTGTGGCATCCTCTTGTGCATCGGTCATTGTAAGTACATTGCGTCCTAATTGGACTTCAAACTCAGGTGTCAATTGAATATCACCTTTGAACCATTTCACATATGGCATTGGGGAACCGGACGCTACACAGTCGATGCTTACATCTCCACCTTTTTCTACTCTAACATCTACTGGTTTGATGGTGAAGTAAGGTGGTACACGACGAACTAAAGGAATGGTGAGTGCATATTTGTTAGATAACTGCTACAAAAGTACATTTTTGCTAAAAGTGATATTTCAGAATACATTAGGTAAATAGATGTATTGACTTATATGATGAACTAGCCTAGCCCAACTCGGTCTCTTTTAGATATCTTGATTTCTATTATGACCGCCTTGTACCCAAACGAAAGCCACATGCTTTACCGACCACTTTACCGACCACGTGCTTTATGTCGGTAAAATTTGACCAAACAACGACAGTCCTGACGCGTTAGCTCATTATTATGCATGGTCAAAAACAAGTACACTTTTCACCGGAACTTTTCACGAACAAATCTTGCACGAATTCATCATGGAAATACAAATGTTTTATAAGATAAATATCAATCAGAGTTTAGTGGATGCTGGAGCATCGATCGGATACCAGGAGGTAAGAAGATTTCAACAAGAAACGTTGAAACGATCGCTGAATTCAAATGATTGAACATATAGGCTGAGATTCAATCACTGAATCAGATCGACAATTACATGGCCGGACTAGGTCTTCACGCATTTTAATCGCTATTGCAGTCTTAAATCAACATTGAATCGCATGATTTAATTTATATTAATGACTGGTTACATTCAAATGTACATTTAATAATTACGTAATATAAATAATTCAAAAGAAACACTCGATCAGATCAATGAATTTCAAGTCGTAGATGTGCTTTGTTTTTGCAGGTCAACCTGATAACGTTTTGATTGGTCAATCAGCCTGAAGTCACACGTCATGTCCATGCGATCTTGTCAATCAAAACGGTTTCGCGATACCCCTGACAGCGTAGGTACTATAGAAATCTCGAAACCGCTGGATTGTACAAGGCGGTAATAATTCAAGATCAGATAAGTAAAAAATACCAACTTGAGCAAGGCTAATGATGAACCGATGATATATAAATCAAGGGGGCAATAACTTACCTCTAACATAAAGGACAGCAGGTTGTGAATACGAAATTCCCTTTTCATTGCTTGCAGAGCACTCGTACTTTCCCTGATCCTCAGATTCAACTTCGGTAATTTGTATATGGCCTTATTGATGAAAAGAAAAATTATTTTAAAGATTATTTTTACATATTTCTTTTAAAGGATAGACACTGGTACAGTTAACCACCAGTAATTCTCCCTATAAGGTTTTTCAAAGTTTGCTTGAAAGTGTCCCCAGTTTCAAAAAGAAGGAAAGAAAATTACATTAAAAGGAATATTAAACATTTTTTGTCCACAATTGAATTTTGTTGTGGTTGTGTATTTAAAGTTGTACTAAAACCAATCAGAGAATCGTTTATTATCTTGTTTTTAGCACAAGTAGCATCCATTGTGTTATGTTAACTATAAAGCTTGTGATGTTTCCCCACACAGCACGATTTCATAAAAGGAAAGGAAAGAGCACTGCAATATTATTCATTACATATTCAAGGAATTGATTGAAATGCATTTGTGAAATCGTATATCAATAACTGAATATGTTAACCAAATAATTATATTTTGGCCTTACAGCAGTCCATTCGGGTTGAAAAGTGTAAATCCCCAAACACTAGCAATTTTTGCTGTTGTATAACTGACACGCTTTCAATAGTGTTTCAGCTCGACTGATTCCGCACTCAATTGCAAGTGATATTTTACCCTTTGCAAAATTGATGAGGATAGCCTCAATCTTGCAATAATTGCCTCAACATAAGAGTGAATAACACGATTTTGGAAGCCGGGGTTTCATTTTTATCTACAAAATCGTATTTCGAGGCAAATTGTTTCAACCACACACCTCGAGTAAAATGGCTTCAGAACAACTTTAAGAAAATTGAGAGAAAAAATAAATTTAACAATATAAAATGTATCATGGCTTACCAGTTGAGAGTAAGGTGAACCTTGGGTCAGTCATATCTACTGGAACTAAATTCTTAAACCAACTAATGGTTGGTTCAGGATAACCATCAGCGTTACACGTCATGACGGTAGATTGTCCTTTCTCAACTGCCTTGAGCCGTGGATGAACTGTGATACGAGGGTAACCAGTTGGAGCGCCTTGAATTTTTTTTTATGGAAGAATATAAATTAATATTACATGTATATCATGTTATGAGAATTAAAACCATATAAAATATTTGCTTTTGTATTAGATGGTTAATTCTATCTCTTGAGTAAAACTGAAATACATTCATAACCAAAGTATATACCTTCTTGAAATTTGTATACTGTCAATGTCCCTACTGCTTTTGCAGCCTCGTCTTCAGGTAAATCGTCATCCACACATGTGAATTCTCTATCAGCAGCTCTTGTGAATTCTATTCTCAAGACAGATCCGAATGGCATCTCTTGTATGATATATCCTGACTTAGTTCCGATTTTCCGGCCATTTCTCAGCCAAGAAATATTTGGGTTGTGGTTGCTAGGTGACTGACATAAGAAACTAGCAGGCGTGCCCTCCATAACATTTTGTTCTGTTGGGACTAATATCACACTTGGTATTCCTAAAAACCACATGACATTGAATGAGATGATATTAAGGTATTTCTTAAAATCGCTGTTTTGAAATTTCATTAATATTGATATGATTTTAGGACATATATCAACTCGAATTTAGGGATTGTTTTTTTAAATTTAATTTTAATAATAACCAGTCCAAACAAAGGTAGTTCATTAATATTAATACAATTACAGGTCACCTAGAGAATGAATCAGGAGTAAGAACCTGCAATGGTCAGATATTTTCCTAACGTCCTAATTGGTCAAACACAAAATGCAAAGACCGTCAAATCAAAGCTTCGCAATACCTTGTGGTATGCTGAGGTTAGGTTCGCTGGCACCATCTGATTCAAGGTCAGGTTCGCTTCCAAGGTCAGGTTTGCTTCCAAGAGTCTGGTCTGGGAAAAGTTCTTTTTCTAATTTGTTTATCTCAATTAATTCCTCCCAGGAGAGAGCAGGAAGAACCTCTTTTGAATCTAAGATAAATTAGATAAAAAAAACATACTTATATGACACAAATGAACATGCAAATATCACCACCTGTCATTTGTCGCCCGCCGAATGCCAATATAATCATTTACATTAACATAAACTTGTTGACAAAACCATTTTATTGTGTCTATAAAATAGAACACCTAAGCACGTAAAAATTAAAATTAGGAAAATGTACATGTTTGAAATAGCCATTAGAAAGCAAATGAAAATTGACCAGATGTCAAAACAATCTGTCCATCTACACTTTAATATTTATTATATATCTATTTGAAAATGGAAATAAAATAAAATATATAATTGAAATTCAAATACAATATTCAAGGATTAAATTTTGTTGTAGTCTTAGACCTTCATTCTTGGTTAAAGGAAAGAAAAGTTGCTTCTTGAATTTTTTATTATCGTGAAGTTGCTTCTTGAATTTTTTATTATCGTGAAGTTGCTTCTTGAATTCTTTATTATCGTGAAGTTGATTCTTGAATTATTTATTATCGTGTTTATTGCAGTTTAATGGAGACATTTCAATTTCTTGTTATATAAATAAATATTTGAGTGTTTTATTTTCAGATACCTCTTATTGGATTGCACGTCTGTCTACAAGCACCCAGGCTTTCAAAATTATTTCCATTTGCGCCACATCCTCCATATACGAACATCTTGCATGTAAATGTGTTGGCATCAAAATACCATCTCTCAAAGTAGCCCTTACACTTTCCTGGTAATTTGGGCAGAAAACATGGATCAAGATCTGGTTTACTAAGGTCAACATTCCCTTCACCAAAACTGGGAAATTCTTCATTTGGCCTTCGAGCTTGTTCAATCTCATCTACTGGCTTATTATTGATTTCATCATAATCCTGTCTTTTGATGTTTGGCAAATCTTCTTTTGTCCCTGTAAAAGAGTTTCATGTTAACTGCGATTAACAAATCAACTAATGTCATATGTACATACAGATTTTGCTCATTAAGAATGAATAAATCATGAATGAATATCTTCAATTTCTCCACAACCAACATCAAAAGTAACTTTAATCTATAAAATCTGTAAAATGTTTTAAGATTTCAGTCATTTATGGAGACCACCTTGATAACTTTCCAAACAATCATTATTTGAACTATTTAGCTAAATTATTCTATCCTCGACTTTCTTTGATTAATACTGATATGAAACAAACTAGTTTCAAAACATGTTATACCTGTTAAAGCATTGCACCTCTGCCTGCAAGCATCTGGGGTTTCAAAATTATTTCCATTTGCTCCACATCCTCCATATACGAACAACTTGCATGTAAATGTGTTGGCATCAAAATACCATCTCTCAAAGTAGCCCTTACACTTTCCTGGTAATTTAGGCAGAGAACATGGATCAAGATCTGGTTTACTAAGGTTCACATTGCTTTCACCTACACCTGGAAATTCTTCATTTGGCCTTCGAGCTTGTTCAATCTCATCTACTGGCTTATTATTAATTTCATCATACTCCTCACGATTGATTGTTGGCAAATCTTCTTTTGTCCCTGTACAAAATTTTATAGCATTATTAGTACAGGAAATATCAACTTTTGAAAGAAATGATACCTGTATATAAGATCCTCAATATGGCATAATTACAACACATGTACATTCCAGTGTCACAGACATCAAACAGTATGTTTAAACCTATTTTACAAAATTAACGAATAAAAAAGCTATACCTGTTTTTGCACATGTCTGGATACATGCCTCGATTGTGTCAAAGTTATTTTCATTAGCACCACATCCCCCATATCCAAACTCTTCACATTTCTTAGTTTCTGTATTGAAGTACCATCTTGGGAAGTAGCTTCTACAACGTCCTATTTCTTTAGGTTGTGAACATATGTCATTACTGCTTTCCTCTTCTGACCCACTAATTGGAATGAGAACTGGGCGTACAGATTCATTTTCTTTAACATCGACATTGACACATGCTTCTTCACAGTCATATCGGCTCCCAAAGTTGTTATCATTAGCATTACAACCCCCATAAATAAACTGCTGACAACGTGATGCTTGTGAATCATAATACCACCTTGGGAAATAACCTCGGCAATCACCTGGAAATTTAGGTTGACGACAAATTGTTCTATCCTTTCCAGCATTGCCAGCAGGTTTACAAATAGGAGCTTCTCCAGACCATTTCCCATTATCCATACATGTACGAACTGTTTGACCGTCAACCTGGAAGCCTGGGTTACATGTATATTGAGCAACGCAACCAAATACAGTACAGGCTGCTCCCACTATCACAGTACCTGAATCTGTCTTGGAAGGGACATCTGGGAAACCACAATCAGCTATAAGAACAACAAATACATTTACTAAAAATATCGTTTTAAAATCATCAGTAAGTATCATCTGATAAACAACCTGTCACAAGGTAACAATCACCTTTAAATAAGATGTACAACAGTGTCTGACATCCAGCCTCACTCCATTCAGAAACAATTTGTAGAACATTAAAACAACATTTAAACCAAACAACCTGACACAAAGAAACAAATGTCCAACATGCAAAATACTGGTGTAACAAAGAAAGTGTCTTACAACCCCACCCCTCCAGTCAGACACCAACAGTACAATCCAAAAGCATCGAAGTCACACAGCAAAAGAAAAGATGACCACTAATTTATCCCATAACATCAATAATTAATAGACTACAGGGTGTCCCGAAAGTATGGGGCCCCCCTTAGGCAGACATATACCAGTGTCGTCATAGTAAGTGTCATATATCATTTTAAAGCTTGTCCAAAGTTACATTGATTCACCAAGTATCATGGTTCAACTCTCAAATGTGAAAAAAATACAGGCATTTCAAAATTTAGTGTTTGGTCAAAATTAAGTTCAATTTTATGCCAAATCACTAGTCAATGTCTCCTCCCGCACCATCTTAACAGCAGCAATTCTTTTCGGGTCGGATGGATATTGAGTTGGAAAAAGAGAATGGTGAGGGTAGAAACTCTAAGGAAACTCTTCTAAAGTCCCTTAACAGGTTTTAAGAGGGTTATAAAATTCCACACTCCTATTTGAAGGGCTTTTAGGGTCATATCTGAAAATAATTGCCGCTGTTAACATGGCCAAGGGGGGACACATTGACTAGTAATGTTGTGTAAAATTGAACTTTACTTTGACAAAACACTAACTTTTAAAATGACTGTAACTTTTTCCCATTTGGGAGTTAAACCATGATACTTGGCAAATCAATGTAACTTTGGACAAGCTTTAAAATGATATATGACACATACTATGAGGACACTGGAAAATGTCTGCCTAGGGGGGCCCCATACTTTCGGGACACCCTGTATATCACACAAAACAATGGTTACGAATCAACATAAATAAGCGTACACACCTAAAGGACAGCAGACTGCATATGAATCATCAGCTGCAACATTACAGAAGTGGTCTGCAGGACAATCCTGTCTATCAGGTCCTCGGCCACAGAAAACCATCATTGCACCCATTGGATCACGCAATGGCTGGCCATTTCTACAGGCTAATTCCAGAGGAACAACCCTTAAACCAACAGATTGCAGTATTGTCAGAGATAAAATCGTATATGTTGTAAATTAAGAATCACATGCTACTATAATCAATTTGCAAATTATGAATGAATAAAGGTTGATTGGCGACATGTTTAGATTATATTACTACATAGAAAAGTACTTACCCATTTGGTTTGGGTTCCACAACAGGTTCTATGGTTTCTTTCGGACAGCAGAATCCAGGTAAAGTCTCACTTAGAGGGTTGTTAACACAGTAATACTGATCAGGGCATCCTTGTTCTTCTGGTTCTGTCACACAAAATATAGTCTCTCCACTTTCTGGGTTTCTTAGTAATGGTGCTCCTACTTTACATGTGAACTCCACTGCAGTATCATCAGCACTAGGACATTCACCAGGTGCTATGAATCTAGCTTTTCCTTCAGATTCACAAATGGCAGCATCTAAGGCGCATCGGTTGCCATATGTCTTGTATTTGGTACCATCATGTCCACATACTGGTGTATAGTCCAATGTACAAATTTGGTTACATTTTGTTTTCGCAGGTTTGTCATTTCTATCACCAGGATAGCATTCACCCTCTCTCACAAACCGTACAGTTCCCTTTGATTTGCAAATTGCAACTTCCATAATGCATCTAGTAGGATATGTTTTATATGAAGTGCCATCCTGACCACATACTGGGTTATATTCTCTGGTGCAAGGTTTATCACAGTCTTCATTATTGCCATCATTTGGGCATTCACCTTCTCTCACAAATCGTATAGTTCCCTTTGACTTGCAAATTGCAAACTCCATGGTACACCTATTGCTAAATGTTCTATGTGAAGTGCCATCATGGCCACACATTGGATTATACTCCCTGGTACATGCCTCATTACATTCCTCTTCCTTGTTTTCAGTTTCAGCATCACTTGTGTCAAATTCAGGACATTCACCATTTCTAACAAATCTGGCAACACCGCCAGATTCACAAATGGCAGCATCCATTGCACATTTGTTGCCATAAGTTTTATATTTAGTACCATCATGTCCACATTTAGGATCATATTCCAAAGTGCAAATTTTATTACAATTTGATTTCACCTCTTCTGTGTTTCTGGTCTCAGGACATTCCCCATCTCTGATAAACCTTACAACACCTTCAGATTCACAAATAGCAAAGTCCATTGCACATTTGTTACCATAAGTTTTATATTTGGAGCTATCATGTCCACATTTTGGATCATATTCGAATGTGCAGGCATTATTACACTTTGCTTTTTCTTCTTCTGTGTTTCTGGTCTCGGAACATTCCCCATCTCTGATAAACCTTACAACACCTTCAGATTCACAAATAGCAAAGTCCATTGCACATTTGTTACCATAAGTTTTATATTTGGACCCATCATGTCCACATTTTGGATCATATTCGAATGTGCAGGCATTATTACACTTTGGTTTTTCTTCTTCTGTGTTTCTGGTCTCAGGACATTCCCCATCTCTGATAAACCTTACAACACCTTCAGATTCACAAATAGCAAAGTCCATTGCACATTTGTTTCCATAAGTTTTATATTTGGACCCATCATGTCCACATTTTGGATCATATTCGAATGTGCAGACATTATTACACTTTGTATTTTCCTTTTCTGTGTTTCTAGTTTCGGGACATTCTCCATTTCTAACAAACCTTACACGGCCATCAGATTCACAAATAGCAAAGTCCATTGCACATTTATTGCCATATGTTTTAAATTTCGAACCATCACGACCACATTTTGGATCATATTCATATGTACAGGCATTATTACACTTTGGTTTTTCCCTTTCTTCTGTTCTGCCCGCAGTGCACTCTCCTTCTCTTATCAATCTAACAGTTCCTTCAGATTCACAAATGGCAGCATCTAAGGCACATTGGTTGCCATATGTCTTGTATTTAGTACCATCATACCCACATACTGGTGTATAGTCCAATGTACAAATGCTATTACATTTTGGTTTGTCACCATTTGCATTATCTGGGCATTCTCCCTCTCTTATGAATCTAACAGTTCCTTCAGATTCACAAATGGCAGCATCTAAGGCGCATTGGTTGCCATATGTCTTGTATTTAGTACCATCATACCCACATACTGGTGTATAGTCAAATGTACAAATTTGGTTACATTTTGGTTTGTTATCATCCTGTTTGACTGCTTCATATGAAGGACAGGCACCATTGCTGACAAAACGGATCTCTCCTTTGCTCTTACAAATCGCGCTATCCAATGCACATCTATTTCCATAAGTCTTCTTCCTAGTACCTGAAGGTAAAATTAGTATTTTGTACATGACTTAAAGTAAAACATACAATACTTTCTCATAGGGGTGAGGACGTTGTTTTCTATATCACTACAAACTTCAATTAATTGAATTATTAAATATGATAAGTTGATATCACAATTATATCTTATTATATCATGTTTGAAATCTTACCTTCTTGTCCACAAACAGGGTTATAATCAAATGTACATATGATATTGCAGACACATTCAGGGGCCCCTGTTGCCATGCTACATGTCTCTCCAACCCCATTGCATTCTATGCTTGAACAATCTGCACAATAATTGCAATCTTATATTTACGTGCACTAAATTATATGAGATAAGAAAACTGGGGGATTTATGCTAGTCTTGAAAAAGTGTTACGGTGATAATTTAAATGGAAAATAAAACATTAATTTCAACAAAAAATTTCGAACCAGAAAATCAAGTATAAAAAAATTCATGAAGTTCATAATTTCTTCACTATCTATGGCATAACTATATCCATGGTTACAGCAATTGATTTTTGAATTCAATGATGTAATTATAGCTATTGTTTTTGTATAACAATTAATTCCAAAATTGTTAACTGTAAGAGGTTCGTGTTAATGATAGCAGGAATGAAGTCAACAATCTTAAATCAAATGACAGGAAATGAGTTTGGTATTGTGTTCAACCAAATTCTAGAAAGAGTAGACAATTCCGAGACACTGCCTTACCTGTTTTAGATTGGAGACATTTTGCCTCACAGGCTGCTTCATCATCAAAATTATTTCCATTTCCATCACAGCCTCCGTACCAGAAAAGCTTACATCTTTTAAATTCCTTATCATAATAGTACTTCTTTGTCCACCGTTTACCACAGAAGCTTCCTCTGTCGCTGTCCAAGCCACAGACATCAAGTTCTGCATTTTCATTTTCAGCTAAATCAATAAAAAGTTAAACATGAATAACAAAAAGAGTATGTTTTAAAATAAAATACACTGAATCTGACATCATAGAAACAAGGGTATATTGGTTGGATTCAGTTTATGGGTTGCACATTCATTTTTCCAATCCAGACATATATAACTAAATACAATTGTAGGACTATCTAATTTCATGTGAGACCACAATGTGGGACAGTAGGGATTATGACCCATAGTATTGTCCCAGGGGTTGTGATTTTGACAGAGAGTACTACATTTCAAGAGTAGGGTCTTTTGAAATGCATATTCTGAAAATCAGAACTTTGACTTTATTTCAACAGCTGTTGCTGGTCCCAGGTTGGGGAAATTGACTCACTACATTGCTCCCAGCGAAGGGAATTGAACGCCCATTTTTTCAAATTGTCAAAATTCCCTCCCCTTCAAAAGTTGTGGGGTGGGGATGTGTCAGACAACCCTATGAATTGTGTCTATTATGACTATGTCTAAAATGTTATTCTTGTTATTTTTTTTTGTCAAATAATTAAATGAGTATCTTGAAACACAACTTTGATGTTCATGATTAATAGATATTATAACTGAATAATAACTTACATGTGGTTTCTTTTAAAAGGCATTCTCCCTCTCTTATAAATCTAACAGTTCCTTCAGATTCACAAATGGCAGCATCTAAGGCGCATTGGTTGCCATATGTCTTGTATTTAGTACCATCATACCCACATACTGGTGTATAGTCCAATGTACAAATGCTATTACATTTTGGTTTGTCACCATTTGCATTATCTGGGCACTCTCCCTCTCTTATGAATCTTACAGTTCCTTCAGATTCACAAATGGCAGCATCTAGGGCACATTGGTTTCCATATGTCTTGTATTTAGTACCATCATACCCACATACTGGTGTATAGTCCAATGTACAAATGCTATTACATTTTGGCTTGTCACCATTTGTATTATCTGGGCATTCTCCCTCTCTTATGAATCTTACAGTTCCTTCAGATTCACAAATGGCAGCATCTAAGGCGCATTGGTTTCCATATGTCTTGTATTTAGTACCATCATACCCACATACTGGTGTATAGTCCAATGTACAAATGCTATTACATTTTGGTTTGTCACCATTTGTATTATCTGGGCATTCTCCCTCTCTTATGAATCTTACAGTTCCTTTGGATTCACAAATGGCACTATCTAAGACGCATTTGTTGCTGTATGTCTTGTACTGAGTACCGTCATGTCCACATTTAGGATCATATTCTTCTGTGCATACATTATTACACTTTGGTGTTTCCTTATTTTCATTACTTTTAATAAGACATTCACCTTCTCTCACAAAGCTAACAGATCCTTCAGATTCACAAATGGCAGCATCTAGGGCACATTGGTTTCCATATGTCTTGTATTTAGTACCATCATACCCACACACGGGTGTATAGTCCAATGTACAAATGCTATTACATTTTGGCTTCTCACCATTTTCATTATCTGGGCATTCTCCCTCTCTTATGAATCTTACAGTTCCTTCAGATTCACAAATGGCAGCATCTAAGGCGCATTGGTTACTATATGTCTTGTATTTAGTACCATCATATCCACATACTGGTGTATAGTCCAATGTACAAATGCTATTACATTTTGGTTTGTCATCCTCTTGTTTTGGTTCATCTGAGGGACATCCACCATCACTGATATACTTAATTGTACCTTTGCTCTTACATATAGCACTATCTAATGCACAACGATTACCATAGGTCTTTTTAGTGTCTCCTAGAATAAAATTAAAAACACAGCATTAGCATGCAAACTGTCACTGCCTTCCATCTGTTACCACTTGCAATGCTGTTACAGACACCAAACACTTACCACCGAATAAAAGCTGGAGACTATAACAATACAGGGTGTCCCAAAAAAAGGAAACCAGCAATAGATTGCTTATTTCTCAAATATGAATAATGATAGGAAAATTTCACAGCTACCATCTGATAGATTATGATGTTCTCTTTCTTATGATACCAAAGTTGTCTATTTTCCTTCACGGATGACTGAGTTATAAGGGATTTAAGTGACCATCTCAGAAATTAGTTTGTACCACTTTCAGCCAAGTCAATTTCACCATCATAACAAAGTGATAAGTAACATCAGGATATCACTCTTTTACTAATTTATTTCAATTAAAATTACACATATCATATTTAACACCCCTTTAAAATCCCAATGTCCATTCAAAGTTGTTTTTACCCCAGTGTCATCATCAGGGATGCAGTACGTGCGATGAGATCAAGGGCAGACATTTGCATTGAAAGGAATGGGGGTCATGTTGAAGGACACTGGGGTTAAAAAGGGGTGTTAAATATGATATGTGTAATTTTAATTGGAATAAATTAGTAAAAGAGTGATATCCTGATGTTTGTTGTTACTTCAATTCTCCAAATTAGGTGTTGCCCAGCCAGAGAAGCACTTTTAGGTGATTTAGGCTGGAGACCTCTTGTTGATGTCATTGAAAAAAGGCAAATAGATTACTTTATATATCTAAAATGTAATATCAAAGAAGGGTCATTACACAAAAAGATATTTAATTCTATGTATGATGGCTTCTGTGCTAATGATGAAAGCAAAGCATTCCCTTACTTTTCAAACATAAAATCCATCCTAACAAAATATGGACTGGATGATGTTATCTACAGAGATGATATTGACTGGTATCAGGCCCTTATCAAAATATCAGATCAAGAAAGGCTTAATAATTTTAAATCTGCATTGAATGAAAAGTCTTCACTCTCACTGTATCGATGTCTAAATCCCCATCCCTTCTTAAAAAACTACCTGACCACAGATTTTGACTTCTATGGGCAAAAATTAAAGTTCAAAGCTAGATCAGGGTGTTTTGGCTTAAAAACAGAATACGAAAAATGGGGACAGGGAAATGGAATATGTACGTTATGTGATAAAAATGTAAAAGACACCATCCAACATAGACTTTTTGTTTGCCCTTTCTTTGGTAATGATAGAAATACTTTTTATAAAAATGTTATTGAAAAATGTAATCCAGCACTATCGTCGGGTCTTCTATCAGCCAGTGTGCAAATTAAAACATGTTGGGCCTTAGGTGAGGACATTTTTACATTGTGGGGACAAGAAGAAGCTTTTAAGTTCGATAAATGTGTAAAGGGTCTTTTAAAATGTGTATATAAACCCCAGACCCAATAACATGTTTTAGTTTCTTATATATAATGCCTGTAAACTGATATATGCTTTTAAATGTTTTGCCAATGTCTGGAAGAACCATTTGTGTTCCGCTGTAATAAAAGCGTTTCCAATAAATAAATAAAAAAAATATCACTTTGTTATGATGGTATCATAAGAAAGAGGACATCATAATCTATCAGATGGTAGCTGTGAAATTTTCCTATTGTTATTCATATTTGAGAAATATGCAATCTATTGCTGGTTTCCTTTTTTGGGGACACACTGTAGGTCACCAATTCTGGTGTTGACATAATTAACTTATATCCAGCGGATTAGATTTACTGTATTAAATGTATGAAGTAAATTACTGGTGGAAAAAAGGAATAGTCCATGGTATTTTAAAGCATTTCATGATAATTTCAAATATGTCCTATTATAAAGGATATCATGATATTTGATCGTATTTCCTAATATTTAGTATTTCATGATAGTTTTTCATAATATTTAACAGTTTTTCATATTTAAGCAACAAACATCATTTTTACATGAAAAAAATATTTGTGCATTGCTTATATACTCTAAGTAGAACATCTCCCAAGTTGACTAACAATATACATGTATAGAGTGTTCCACATACACATACATACATACATTCATGTACACAGGTTTTACTATTTATTACCTTTTTGTCCACAGACAGGGTTGTAATCAAAGGTACATATGATATTGCAGACACATTCAGGGGCCCCTGTTGCCATGCTACACGTCTCTCCAACCCCATTGCATTCTATGCTTGAGCAATCTGCGCGATAATGGTAATCTTATATTTAATATAATAAATAATGATCATATGAAAACACAAAGGGCAACAATACAAGTCATATAAAAACATAATTCATCGATGCAAACATGTAAATCACACATGTATCATCCCAGAGTAAGGGCCTTACAGGAGCTATCAAACAAATCTAAACCAATATGTAATTTTCAAAAAGCTACCAGCAGTCATCAACACATTAAACGCTGATAAAGCAGGCAAATAAAAATACTACAAAGACTAAAAGAATAACAGTACACAAAAAGGTAAAAGTAAACTAAAAGAATAACAGTAAATGGAAAAGTAATAGTAAACTCAAAGAATAACAGTAAATGGAAAAGTAATAGTAAACTAAAAGAATAACAGTAAATGGAAAAGTAATACTAGACTAAAAGAATAACAGTAAATGGAAAGGTAATACTAAACCTAAAGAATAACAGTAAATGGAAAGGTAATACTAAACCTAAAGAATAACAGTAAATGGAAAGGTAATACTAAACCTAAAGAATAACAGTAAATGGAAAAGTAATAGTAAACTAAAAGAATAACAGTAAATGGAAAAGTAATAGTAGACTAAAAGAATAACAGTACACAAAAAGGTAAAAGTAAACTAAAAGAATAACAGTAAATTGAAAAGTAATAGTAAACCTAAAGGATGACAGTAAATTGAAAAGTAATACTAGACTAAAAGAATAACAGTACACAAAAAGGTAAAAGTAAACTAAAAGAATAACAGTAAATTGAAAAGTAATAGTAAACTAAAAGAATAACAGTAAATGGAAAAGTAATAGTAAACTTAAAGGATAACAGTAAATGGAAAGGTAATAGTAAACTAAAAGAATAACAGTAAATGGAAAAGTAATAGTAAACTAAAAGAATAACAGTAAATGGAAAAGTAATAGTAAACTTAAAGGATAACAGTAAATGGAAAGGTAATAGTAAACTAAAAGAATAACAGTAAATGGAAAAGTAATAGTAAACTAAAAGAATAACAGTAAATGGAAAAGTAATAGTAAACTTAAAGGATAACAGTAAATGGAAAGGTAATAGTAAACTAAAAGAATAACAGTAAATGGAAAAGTAATAGTAAACTAAAAGAATAAGAGTAAATGGAAAAGTAATAGTAAACCAAAAGGATAACAGTAAATGGAAAAGTAATAGTGATCCTAAAGGATAACAGTAATTGGAAAAGTAATAATAAACTAAAATAATAACAGTAAATGGAAAAGTAATAATAAACTAAAACGATAACAGTAAATGGAAAAGTAATCCTAAACTAAAAGAATAACAGTACACGAAAAGGTAAAAGTAAACTAAAAAAATGAACCTCACCATTAGCTTTAAGACATTCATCTTCACAAGATTTCCTATCCTTAAAGTTATTGCCATTTCCACCACATGCACCGTACCAGAACGCTTTACATTGTCCATCCTCATGATAGAAGCGTTTCTCCCATCGGCCACATAGTTCCCCTATATCTTTCTCGAGACCACAGACATCCACTTCCTCCTCGCTCGCTAAAAGATATGAATGTCAAGGTAACTCTTTCTTCACTCACTAATATGAAGTGAAAACATGAGGGGAATAAATTATGTTAATACAAGAGGTAAAAAAGAGGAGGGAAAACCCCATGATTCAATTGATGACATACGATTTCCTCCTTCGCGCACCTCCTTTCCCGAAAGTATGTATATTTATACTTCCCTCCATCTTGGTTTTCAAAGTTTTCAAATTGACCTAGTTTTAAACCAATCAACGATCGACTAGTTAAACCAATCAGCGACAATGTCATCTCAATACAGATTTAAATTATAAGCGTATGTCATCTTTGAACCCTGGGGTTTCTCCCCTCTTAGGTAAAAATACATGAGGTGATTTGCATGAAGTGAATGTAGAATTTGAGCAAGAATCTGCAAAAATATGTAAGAACAGGTGCCAAAAGATGATGAACAAAGAAAAAGAAACCAAAAGAAAGAAAAAAGAAGCTCTTATATTACATTTTAATTATTAATTCTTACTAATAAATACCATGTTTCTAGGTTACTCTCTTTCTATATTAATATGTACACACAAATATCAATTGAAGGGAATGGACAAAAAATTGTTATAGAACACAGCAAAAAGGGAAACATCTTAGAGTACGAGTACACCAGTCATAAGGAAAAGAAACCCCAACTATCCCAAACCATGATGTCATTACTATTACGTACATGAATCACTGGAGTCAGGCTGACAGGCTGTTTTACATTCCTGTTCTGTCACAAAGTTATTCTGATTTCCCCCGCAACCGCCATATGTGAACTCCTTGCAGGCCTTAATGGTGGGATCGTATGCCCAGCGTATTTTTCTAGCTTTACATCTCCCTGTGACAGCAGGTAGACTGCAGATCTCTTCTGAACTAACTGAAATTAAAGTTACGTGTAGAGTATATATGAAAATGATGATATGACAATAATCTCTCGATTACAAAGAATACTAAAACAGGTCTAGAATATTTCTATGACTGAAAACTAAGGGTCTAGTGCAATTTCCATTATGATTACCCCATGAACAAAATGAATCATTTTTAGGTGTAACATAAAGAATACAATGTCACATAATACTTTGGAAAATATTTAAGCGTTTGGACCAATATGGGCTGAGGTTGAGGTCATTAAGTTCAGCAAGGGTGTATTGACTTGACATTGAATGTGGTCCATTGACTTAACATGTGGATATCATCAGATTCCAATGGAGGCCATGATGGTTTCTATTGATTTTCACAAAAATACCTAAAATACAATATGACCTGAATCGATTGCAAATTAAATAATTTCACAATATGACACAAATGGTATATCACATCAGATGTGCAAATATAAAGTTTGCAATCGATTCAGGTCATACTTCAAATTAAAAGATTATACATTTTTTTCATCATTTTTTTCCTACAAAATGGCTATAGAAAAATGCTTCAAAAGCAGCTTTTACACTTATGAAATCCCATACAACTTTGTAAATCCAAAGATTATACTGTTAAGTTTCATTAATTAATAACATATATTTGGATAAGATGCAGGGATGTGTAAGATGCAAATGGATTTTGACAGACACAAAAAGACTTCCTGGTTTGGCATCTCTACCCCTGTACACTTTATGATTGAATATTGGCCCTAATAAGTGGCACATTCATCGATACAGTGCTGAATATAGGTCAACAAGATACTAGTGTACATATACATGTAATAATAAAAGTAGTATATTTATTTTGAAAAATCAGATGAATAAATTTTTGTTCATGGGGAGATCATAATGGAGGGTGCACTAGATCCTTCATGATGCCATACAATGAAGGCAACAAAATTGGAAGAAGTTTTTGAAAATTAGCAATATACTTGATCCTATTCAGTCTGCATAATAACAAGTAACAGCATTATTTACTGAATTGGTCGATTAACTGTCTATAACAAGATTGTGAAAACATGATTTATGATGCTATCCAATGAAGGCAACACTATTTTCAAAGAATGTAGCAAAGATGAGTTCATGTACATTTGTATATTGTTTTTAAATTATGGAAACTATAAAACAATGCCAATCGTCTTTTGTGTCACACTGGTGACAGCTTGCCATTTGTTTCCATTCTTTAAAAAACAATAGAAAAATAATATACTCTTCTTTTGTTACAACTGTACATTTTTTTAAATAAACTACAGCTCATTCTCACAGGCTGGTATCGAAATATTTGTTCACTGTGACGGAGCATGCTATTTTTCATAAAAACACTAAGAATACTTCACGATTTATTTTTTAACTCATATGTTTCGTTATACCATACAAAATTACTTACTCCATGCAATGGATATATCATTTGCAGGTAACTTTCACTTCTGTTTGAAGTCCAATTACGCTGGGAAGAAAAGCTATTGAAAATGGCGCCGGAGTATCATACTTCAAAATGTATCATTTCTTGTTTAACTTTCTAATGGCATGATATAGTGACACGATAATATTTACACATGGTTTCAGCATAACTATGAAGGTATAAATGAGGTGTTGATGTATTTGGTCTTTTTAATTCTTTTATAAAAAATAATGTTTAATTTTTTTGTCCGCTGTGACGGAGCAGTTGCAAATGTGAACTGTGAAAATGCTCTGTCACAGCGGAAAAAAAATATTAACATTATTTTTTATAAAAAAATTAAAAAGACCCAATGCATTAATATCTCATTAATACATTCAGAGTTATGCTGAAAACATATGTTAATATTATCATGTCACTATATCATGCCATTAAAAAGTTAAAAAAGAAATGGTACATTTTAGAGTCTGATACTCTGGCGCCGTTTTTAATAGATTTTACTCCTAGCGTTATTGGACTTCAAACAGAAGTGAAGGTTACACGCAAATGATATATCCATTGCATGGAGTAAGTAATTATCTTTGATATAACGAAACATATGAGTTAAAAAATAAATCGTGAAGCATTCTTAGTGTTTTTATGAAAAATACCATGCTCCGTCACAGCGGACAAATCTTTCGATACCAGCCTGTGATTCTATAGTGTTGCTATCTTAGTGGGGTTTAAATCAGACTTACCTGCAGGTTCACTACCTTTAATATCTTCGGGTGCTGGAGGGGCAGGGGCTCCATCTCCTCCAACAAGACCCTTGAAGTTGCCTGGATTAAACACTTCATCTCCAACCCTATCTGGATGAACAACAAATTATACATAGTCATAAGATTTAAGTTAAAGGGAATGCAAAGTTTTGTCCCTTAAACTTGATAATAAGTTAGAATAAAGATATATCTTTCAATCCAACTTCGTTTTATTGTTCTATCATTATCCTTTTAATTGTTATTAAGCCCCGGGTTTTGCATATGAACTGGACCACGGAGCTGCCATTTCAACCGTAAAGTGGTTCTTTACGACATTGTTATGACGTCATTGATGCCAGATTGATGCCTTGGGATTCCAAAGTTTTGTGGCGCCATTTTTGAATCAA